GGCGGCCAAGCGGCGCCCAGAGACCAGGCCGGGCCAACTTGTGTGGTAGCCTTAATAGCGGGCTCGCCTGTCGATCTCTCTGATAAGAGTCTCTGGCCGGGAGAATGGCGGAAATGACACAATTCTTCCTGTAGTGTAGGTAGACTGAGGCACTAGGGCAGTGTCTCGAACGAGTGTCCCAGTGCTGCACGTTTTGTCTCGATCCACTCAACCCTCTCGACGGCGGGAGCCCAGGAGGACCTCGAAGAATTGACAGGTATACCCGGGTGTGTGTCTTGAACCAGTGTCCAGGGATTGAACTCGGGACCAAGCGAGGTGTTACCGGGAGAGGAAGCCCCAGGAAAACTTCATCCAGAGCTGATAAGATCGTTAGTGTCAAGGCTCACAGAGTCAAGACCTTCCCCGGATTTTCGTGACCCTGCTGAACAACGTTCCCTCTCGATTGAACTCCGGTCGTAAGAGCGAGGTACAGAGACTGTGTAGATACGGTAGTACTGGCTGTCCGCTGTCGCGACTCTCATCGTCAAGATAGCGAGGCACACTGAGCTGATAAGGTGGGCAGAATAGCCTCTGACACTAGGTTCATGCCTTATCTCGACGGCTCTTACCTGCCTAGGGTACTCAGTAAAGTGCTTTGAGAGAGAAATGATTGGACAGGTCCGAAAGGGGGGACGGGGAACAATACGACGAAACGGAGGCTTGCGAGCTTATTGCTTATCTCTGGGAGGCTCGCAAAGGCGTTCGATATGCAGTCGGGACGGACGGGCCAGGCCCCACCCTGGCATCCGAGAGATAAGAGCTCTGACTCTGATAGATGACTGGTGTAGGCGTGAATCGCTGACGTCGATCTCCGCGGGTCTATTCGAGCGTGGCATGTGTCTCGAAGTTCCAGCTATGACCTGTGAACTGGCATAAGCTGCAATTCCGAACTGGATCGTCTCGTAGCTCAGATGTCTGCTGTTGAGTGACGTCGGATGATGATGGGTTGACGAAGTTCCAGCTCACGACGATCTGACTCCGAGCAGCGGCTTGGCTCCCTTTGGGGGAAAAGGAGACTAGGAACTCGGCGGGATCTTGATGGACAAGGGCCGCAGATTGCATGGCAGTCCCTTGATGCCTGGCCTGTCCAGCACTGGCTGACAGCCACGGTCACCTAGCGCGGGCGACGTTGTAGCGCGAGAATCTTAGACTTGGTATCCTTTGACTCCCAAGAGGATTGGGCACAGCGTTGGTTCCGATCCTAGACTGTATCCGTACTGCCGCGTAAGTAACCCCATTCGGCTGCTGGCCAGGAACAGATGGCTTGATGCAATTCGAGGTCCTATAATTGGGCAATGCCGCGGTTCCGCACAACTGTCCTCCCGAGTCCCCCTTCTCTCCACAATGCTGTTGCCCCTGAGATTTCCCCAGGCACGACAGGAGAGACTGAAGGGGGTGGTGCGCAAAGCTGATGAAAAATTGGGATGACTGGGAGTTTGGGTTGGCATGCTGCATTCGGGGGGAGGTTGAGATAAGATAAAGAGATAGCAGAGCCAAGGAAGCCCCCGGCGCATGTAGCCCCATTGACAGGGGTGCACGGATGCCCTGTGAATTATGTCAGCCGGCTATCCCCCACGTCAATCCCGCTTGTCTGGTTCAGGCCCTTCTGTCTCCCGCTGCGGCGTGCATCCCCGGCTTGCCGGCTTCCCTACCTTCCACCGTACCGCGATGGGGTCTAGACTCTCCAACTCGATCCCGACTTCAGTCCTCCAGGTCTATCCCTTTGGAGCCGTGTCTGAATTCCAGCGCCAGGCGAAGAGCACACCTCGGCGCTACCGCGCCTATCACGGATGGATTCGGCACAGCGGCCGTGGGTTGCGGGCGTTCTGAACGGCCCTTTCAGCCTCCACTTAACGCGGCATTGCGGACCCTTTTTGCCTTTCGCACGTGTAAGTCAACCTCCGCGGAGTTGTTCGTTTCAAGATAACGGAACGACCACTTCAACCAGCCGCACAACACTCAAGGCACTAGATGGTCCATGCGTCCTGCGCGTGTGGGAGATATCTTCAACCGTCTTGCATATCTTGAAAATCGGCCAGTATCTGCAGATCTACCACATCGGCAAGCCGTCATAGGTGGTCCAAGGCATGATGATAACAGCAATGGAAACAGACCCTTGGGGTGCCTTCGATGCGTTATGATCGCGGTGGTTGAGACATACTTGTAGTTCTGGGAAACTGCACTCATCCAAGTGCCTCTCAACAGGGCCCCTGATAAGAGGTCTCTGTTTTACCCCTGGACCACCAGTCGCCAGCACATCTTGCTTGCCCGGGACGGCCCCTTCTTCCCGACGAGGTCCAGTTTTTGTCAGTGTGTTACAAGGCACGCGGGCACATGGGCACAAAACCACCTGGTGGCTGTGTAGTAGCACGTCTCACTGTGGCCGACTCATTCCAGGTTCATACTGGCCTTGTCTCGTGTAAGAAATCCCCCATCTTAAGCCGAGCAGGACCAGCTTCAACCACAGCATTGGCAATGCCAGTTGTGAACTGAACTCCAGGTCTGCCCCTTTGAGTCATTGTTATCTGGCGCAATCACGCCGAGACACATGAAGTATTGGGCTCGTCATGCCGTGGACTACACGGGCAGCGTGGGGTCTAACAGCCAGCCCCCAAGCGCACCACGCTGCTTCAGAACTCCACGAACCGGTCTACAAATCACTCCCTCGCCTGAGCAAGTGGATCGAATTTTGCATCTCCGGTCGACGTCGACGTCCATATCTCTGCCCAACGAGAAACTTTCGCGCCCGGTTTCGGACTGCAGGATCTGCTATTCGAAAGGGAAAAAAAAACCTTACTTGTGGCCTTATACTCCGGCCCGATTGATATCACATTCTCTCGCAGAAGCCGGAGTTACCCAAATCGATTTGATGAAGCGAAGGCGGCTATCGTGCGACATCGACGAGGACAATAGAGCAAAACTATGGCACTTGTGAATCTTCGCGCATGGGTCGTGATGGCTGTGTTTTTACTGCGTTCCAGGCTGGAAAGCGACTTCGCCACGCGGTGAACGCCCGTGTTGGGGGAGACAAAAGAGGCCACCGGGGAGCTGTACCAAGGCTTCTTCCAGCTCATCCATACGTGTGCTGTGAGATGACTTTGGAACAGCCTGTGCTCGACGAGCCTTGGTGAGCCCGCTAACCAGCACACCTCCCGATAAGCCAAGGCAAGATTGTCAGAGTAAGGACTTCTTATCGCGACTCAGTGAGGAGCGCCCCTGAGTGTTACGCCTTCGCCCTTAGGGCGACTGGCCTTGATTCTGCCTTCGGTTCTCATGATTTGCGTTCGGAATCTTCAGAAAAGGGGGGTTTGAAGTTCATGGGCTGGTTCGGGTTCTGATATCGTGGTTATCTGAAGCTCTCCTTTTTCAAATCTCTTCTCTCGACTCAATGTTCGTGGATAGCGCCTAGCCCATCTCTTCTTCTATTCGCTCTTTTCTTTACCCCTATACTACTACTACTACAACCAAGAGGTTAAAGAACATACGGACGAGCCCGGACTCTCTGATGACCTGGTTCATAGGTCACAGACTTCTTTCCTTGTTGCGGTAACACTGATGCCTGATATCACCACAGATCCAAAAGAGGTGATCGTTCAACAGTCAATATGCCGATTCTCGACTACGTCCTCTTCGTCTCCCCGTTGCGGCGCTCGTAGGCATAAAGTTTGTTCGTGGCACTCTACCCTTACCTCTCGACATCGGCTGTTAATGGCCAACAATAACGCCGGAAACGAAGCCATCGCCGGATAGCGGGCTGTTCTCGTAAGGTCAGGCTCCTATCCTCTTTCTGCCAAAGACCACAAAGTTTTCTAACCAGCGACTGTTCTGCAGTCTAGAGATTCCAGACATGCGTTTCCGACATCGAATACCACATCCTCTCTTCAGCAGGCCATCAGGCCTGCCGAAGTATTTTGACATTACAATTCTCGGATGCTTTTTTGTCCAGAGACTGCCAAGCTAGCATCATGAGCGAGACGTCTGCTCCCTGGGGATTGGCGAGGGCCCGTAACCATGTCTCTGACTTTGGAAAGACCTGGTTCGTGATGGTCAGACTCGAGAGTGTGTGAGGGGTCACATCGAGCCCCAGGTCAGTTGTGAACATTGGTCGGCTCGCCTTGCTTTCCCGGACAAGCTTTCAGAGCCCCTTTGTTTTGGGGAACGGTTGAAACACTTTTCTCTAGTCCTGGCGAGGATTTAAAGCACTCCACTACGTTAGGGGATAGTCCTTTGAGGTTATCGATATTTCGTAACAGAAGCACAGACACGGTTTCCGTCTCCCTCGCGAAAGTGGAGTACCAGAAGGCACAAGGTGATGGATGACATACCGATGTATCTTTCTGCGGCTTTGAATCAGCTCGTCGAAGTCAGGGCTGTGCTTCCATGAAGTGTAGATATTGAGTAAAAGGCTACCTCTGGTCGAACTCTCGTCCTGATATCCACGCCACTACTGCTAAGTTTATTCGCGTCAGTCTGGGAAGACCATTGTTGGCCATGGTCAGAATCTTACCTCCGTCACAAAACGTGCCCGCAAGGATACTTCCTCGGCCCTTTCGCTCTTACCACCTTGAAACAGAGCCAGCGAGAACCCAGAACAAGTATTCTTCCTTTCCTCCTCAATTCTCTGTATCATCGGAACCATGACTTGATACGCACAGGCGCGTCAGTCCTTATGGCTCATACGCAAGTGTGCGATGGGTTGAGCCTTGGTGCTCTCATTCGGTCCTCCGACTTGGGCCAAGCAATCGTCATCTCAAGCATCACGAAGAAGTACAGCAAGGAAAACAACTCGGAGGACATAGCTTTGGACTTGAATCACCATCGACGTCATTCCGGCCCTGTCCGTCATCGTCAGTACGTTGAGGGTCCGCTCCAGCTTGTGGGACCTCCACCGGCGGCCATAAACAACTCACAGCCGTCTCCCGTCACCAACCATCCCACAGGCAGGATTCATTCCGCCCGGCTAGCTCAATCGGTAGAGCGTGAGACTCTTAATCTCAAGGTTGTGGGTTCGACCCGTAAGCTCATCCTGATTCTTCAATCCCACCATCATCACAACTAACCAATCCCAGCCACGTCGGGCTCAATTCCCGTCAGCGATTGACGCGTTCAAACTTTTTTTTGGTTGCTTTCACTTTTGACACGTCTTGGTTTCATTGTCCTTGGAGACATTTCAAGCTTTCTTTTGCCTTCCTGAGCATCTCGAGTTGACTTGCTTCCCGATGTGTGCGGTTAGGGCTTCTGAAGTGTTTCTGATCTGCGACCAGGATGTGTTGGTGGAAGTACAAGCTTATTTGGTGGACCCCCTTCCTTCACCGTCCAGAGACCAAGTCTGATTTCGAACTTCTTCGGACTGTGACGCGATCTGCTTTTTGTGAGCTAGCTGTTTTCCCCTTCCTCTCCTTATGGACATCTTGACTCTTAAGCTATCGGGGCAACCATGGACGAGGCGGGTTAGATTCATCGCGTATCTCATTGCGTCCGAAAGCAATGCACATGTGACTTAAAATCGTGGTGTTTTATGCCTGGGAAGAAATAACACCACCCACCGTCCCCAAAGTCGCGCCAACAGCCTACTATTGCAACAAAGGACCAGGATTCTGTCAGCGTTTCCCATCTAAAAGACTGGTTCTACGGGAAGTGTCGGACGGGTCATCGGAATCGCTGGAATAGTTAGCGACGGAATCCATCAGACTCCACACCTTAATCTTTTATCAACGTGCCATGGAAATGTCCCACTGAATGTTCAATGACGTATTCACATATTTCATGAGCTCTGAATTACTTGGAGAAGGCGAAGTGCACAACCAAAGGCGGGCGGATGCAGGAGGGTTGTACATCATCGCACTTACTTCCCCAGCAAGGAGGCAACGTGAGTAACCGACCCCTTGCTACGAATCTGAAGTTATATAGACCTTTGGTTCATGACGCGGTGAAGTATATCTTGATTAAAATAGTACCTGGATCGAAACGGTGAAGCCCATACAGATGCCGTGAGCTTTACTCTTTCTATGGATACCAGAAGTACACGTTCTTTGTCCTTTGAATCAACAACAAACAAGCAACCATAGCCAGAAGATCCGTATCGTGATAAGAAGACGAAGGGCCTGTCATTGAATTAGAGTAACGCATTCAGGTGTGCTGTAGTTGCTATGAATCTTTCACATATTGCCAGGGCAGCTTGGTTTCGGGCCTTAACGCCCCTTGATGGCCAGTGTGAACATACTTTGCCAGTCCCATGTCGCCTACTTTGAGCCATTCTGGGATATGGGTAAGACTCACGTAGCCATTTCCGATGCGAATATACGTTGTGAGGGTGCGATGACTTAAGATGTTTATATGCATCAGGTCAACAAGTAGCTTGGACCAGTGATGTTTGCCATTGATCACTGTATGCCCGAAAGCCCTTTGGAAGCAACCATAGCTGAGTCCTACCCCGTGTAAGATCAATCTTGATCACATCATAAGTCAGATACTGAAGCGCTAGATTATAGTCGCCAACCCGCCACGTACGACTTCGCCCCAAGGGCCGTGTTCTTGTTTCTGTTACTTGTCGCTTCACGGTTGACTGGGCCTTTGCTCCATCTAACCTTCCGTGATGCGAAAGCCGTCATTTCCAACATGCCTAAGAATAACAGAGAGGTGCTTAAAAACTTACACGTGCACTGTATCTCGACATGCAGGCTTGTTTTCGACACACAGGGCAGAAAGTCGATGCTCTCATGCGAGCGGCTGCCGACTACAATACGTTTGCCACAACTTTCACACGCATCTATTTCCAGTGCAGGACTCTAGTCTTTGCAGTTGGAATAAGGGCCAAGACCCCGAGGATCACAAGGCATGGTATCTACATCGAAAAGTACATGAGATAAAAGAGGTGGGGATGTAGTCAGGACAGACCATAGTGACTCGAAGGAGGCTGGGGCGGATAGCGAGTGAGCTACTACTGAGTACTGAGTACTTAGGGCTTGGGACAACGTCAAGCACATCGTATGGGTGCTGGATCCCGAGACCAGGGTGAAGAAGAGGGCTAGTGGTGGGGGCAGCACGATCTACTGGGCTATTTCCAGCGAGCTGGGCTTCCCGTTCATGAGTGTGTGATGTATGATAATCCGGTGGATTTCGGAGAACTTAAAACTTACTCCCCCTCGTACATTCGCTGCCCTCTTACACCATCAGTTGCCCGTTGGACGTGTAAGCTTTCGGACTATTTCGTGAGGTAGCATAAACAGAACATAAACCGGCCACAAATCAACACAGATGACTGGGACAACCACTCCAAGAAGTCGTTGTCGACTTCAACGCCAATGTGAAGTCGCACGCAAGAAGTAGCAATCGTCATTTGATTCCTTTGCCCACCATACAAGCCGTGTTCTCCCTTCCGTTGTGTCCCTTGCTCACTTATCCGAGGGGAATGCCCCGAAGCAGGCGACGATGAGCCGGGAGTTCCCCATGTGCTAGATGATCCCACTGTATACAACGCCGAAGTATTAGTTTCATCCGACAATAATTGCAGGAACTCTTACTGGGCAACCGGATATGATTAGTTCTGCAGGGGATGCCAACCCATGCTGGTCTCTCCTAGGCGATGGGTGCACGCGAAAGCGAATCTAGGACAAGGAGCCAAATTCTAAGGCCCAACTTTACTAGTTTCGAACCGAATTAGCTATAGAATGCTACTTGAAAGCGGTACATTGCGTCAAAGCCGGTCACCGGGAGGAAAGTGCAACCAGGACTACGACATCCGTGACAGTGGATGATGGTGATCGCCGAACGGATAATGACCACGGCTCGTCGGTGGAACTCCAAGAACAATAGACAAGACTAATGCATGGTAGACTTCGTTTCCGAAGGCGCCAAGGCTATGGAGTCACCGGAGAACCAACGGGGGGAGGGGGGGGGATGAAGCGCCAGATGCTCCTCAACATCCTAACATACCAAGAGGCCGGCGATGTCGCTCACTGTATTGATCACTCTCAAATGTTCCCTGGCTATCAGCCATCAACTCTTTCGTGGCTTGACCACGGCCTCGTCTCGAGCCACCGCCATGACAAAATCCTCTGGAGTAAATCCCACCGACAATGGCTGGGTCCCGGGCCAACCTCGAGTCTTCTACCAAATGGCACTTCAACTCCACATCGACTTGGCAAGGGCTCACTCAAACATTCTTAACCCGACCAAAAAAACAGTGAGATACTTCTAGAGCAGGAGGCAAACACGCGTCTGCACAACACCCATCGCTTCCTCTCCAAGGCCGGGCCTTTGGCGCCTGCCTCTCCCTGGCGCGCCATTTATCGAATTCCTCTCGCCGAATCGCGTGGGGCAGGTGCCAATACACGAAGCCACAGCCGGCCTCACAGACTCAAACAAGGTAAACCCTTCAACACGAACCCATTATTAGAAGCATCACATTGGACGGAGAATCCACGGGGTAACGATGTGACCACTTCCGAGGCGGTCTTGCCGTGCCGGGAGGAAGGCGCATGCTCCCACAATGTCTCCCGAGATGAGGGAGCCGAAAGTATAATACATTGCATGGAGTCGAGTCGCATCCTGTCACGTTCTTTGGTAATTGTTTAATAAGTGAGAAAGAAAAAAAAGACGGGAAGAAATCATCCATCATCCAGCAAAGCATCCCCCTCCTCAAGTCTGGCAATTCGAGAGACAACTCAAGATCGAGGTTGGGGGGCATCCGGCGTCGCCGGTTGAACGAGGCAGAGACGCTGCTATATCCGGGGGAGAATCCGAAACAGAGGCAGCCCGGATGGACTGGAAATAGTTGCAAGAGAGAGAGAGAGACAACCCCCTCCAGTTTCAAGAACGATGATCCCGGACCGTCGGGCTTTACAGAGTTTCCCATCGCCTCCAGAAAAAACCGGGGGTGCAATCTGCTGGCCGAGTCATGGGCTGGGGTCGTGTCAGGTTCGGACGGGCAGCGAACTTTGGAAGCTGGGTGGCTGCCGCTCCGAGTGGGAGACGTTGAGGGTTATTAAAGGCCGGGTGGGGTTTTGGAAACAGGAAAAGGCCTCCGCGGCAGAGACGGACACTTATCCCGAAGCCGACCGGTCCGGCTTGATGGTAAAGTAACTGTTGGTTCTCAACTATGAGTGGCGGGCTGCTGTGTGGTTGTGATCGGCGGACCTTGTAATTGCGGACAGCAAGATTTGTGAAAAAAAAAACCAAAAAAAACCAGAACTCTTCAGCAACATTGAATGATAAGTTGCAATCGCAGGGACAATGGAGATGGAGTGACAACTTGTTTGTTACTTATTGCGCAAGGCCGTTGCCAAGCTGAAGGATTGCTGCTATAGCCACAAAAAAACAATGCCATGCATGTCAACAGAGAAAGTCTTTCCGATGGTTAGTGGCCCAAGTCCCTGGGGCTGTCCGAAACCGCCCTGCTGTGACTAGACCAATGGTTTCTAAGGATCCAACCGGTTCACGTCAGACAAGCTGTGGCCGTCGCATGACAGCTGCAAGGTTATCTGATCGGCAACCCATCTCCACGAGGTGATCGACATGCCACCGACTTCAAGTCATATCGACCAGAGGCAACTTTATTTGTAAAATGTTCTTTTTCTTGTTAAGGAATAGACTGAATCATTCTTCTCTCACATTATCAACTAGAAATGTATCAACCCATCCCTCGTGAATCGCACTCGTCCACGGGGACACTGGTATCAGAAACACAGGAAATAAACGCCATGTGCGGGAGCCCATTCCCCGAGGCAGCGATAACACGGGTGATCCGAGCTCACAAGCCTGGAAGCCGAGTCCCCCGTCTTTTTATCCAGTCATGACCTAATATGCACGTCGAAACCCAAATCCATGCCCGATGCAATTTAACAGATGTAGAAAATCCGAGAAATGTTGCAATGAGCGTTGCTTAGAGAAGGGCGGCAACGGCAATACCACCGAGGACAGCGAAGACGCCGGCGGTGGCCTGGGCACCAGCGCCAGCAGCGGGGACGGTGGCGATGGTGGTGGAAGCAGTGCGGGTAGCGGTGCCGTTGGAGGCAGGGCGGGTGACGCTGGTGATGGTGGTGGCAGCA